CCATCCTGCCTCTCCAATATTGTGTCCATCATCCCAATATGCCCACTCATGCATTCCTCCCTGTCCCATCCTCATGACCATGCAGCTGGGGTTGCCCTTCAGCCTGTGTTGCCTCATCTGTCTGGAATTCCCTTTCTCCAGATTGATTCCTTTCCTTGGTTCTCACCTTTATGTGTGTACACACACATTCATTTACAGTCATCCACTAAATCCCACGTGTTTTTTTTTTTTATCCTGCCCGCACCAAGGTCAGAGCAGACAACAAAAATACCAAAAGCCTTTCCTGCTTTTGCACTTCAGATATATTTTCTTTGATTCTATTAATAACGTGTTTCATTCCCTTTTTTCCTGCAAAGTACATCTCTCTGTAGCTTTATAGTTACATTCTACCCACATCCATATTTTGCCAGTACACATAAATGTATGCCTGCACTGTATTCTGCACCAAACACAGTAATTCTGACACTGAGTCAGGCACGGACATTGTATCTCACTACAGGCAGGACAGTAATATCTTTAATAACGACACTTATTGCTTCCTCTCCCTCTCATTCTTTTGCAGTCCAACTGAAATCAGGAACAAACTGAACATTGCCAAGTTTCTCCCTGGTATTTAAACAGCTCTCTGCTTTTACAGAAAATATAAACCATTTGGAGAAATTACCTTTCACACAGTTTGTTTTTTTTTTTTTCCCCAGGAAAAAATTACTTTGAATTTTGACCCAGGTTAAAAAGGAAGAGGTATTTTTTTGTTAAACCTTTCTTTTTTATGCTAAATTTGCTTATCATGTAACGTTTACAGCCTTTTCCAGAGCACCTGTGCTAAGAGGTGAACATTACCTGGCCACTTTTATGCTTATTATGAATTCTTTTTACATACAGTTTGTTGGACAGCACATTCAAAACAAGGAACATCTCTGAAAAATTTTGCATTTAGCTGTCTTGCTTCCTGTTTCATAAAACCAAGTCTGATGCCTGTTAAGTGTCCTCTCTCTAATATTAGTAGAATATATCTGGATTTGCTGTTTACCTTTTAAAATCAAGCAGCTTTCCATAAGCATATATTTCACTGGCACTTTAGAGAATAAAAGTAATAAAATTCACATGTATTTATTCAGGCATACCTCCTAAATCTTTAACATTCAAAGATGGCTATGTGCTTTTTTGGTCATTTTCCTCTCTCTTTTATTCTAGGTGACTCATGTAGCTGTGAACTTAATTGGCATCACTTAAAGTAGTCTGGGAAATTTCATACTGCTGAATGTGAATGTGTTACTATGTATCTGACTGAGATCTAAATAAATTCCACATTTGGCCCAAGGAAATATAAGACACACAAGATTTCAACCTGTTCTTAGAGAGTAAGAAAAACAGCATTCTAGACTTCACTAAAGTACAAACAGATTCACTTCCCTGCAACCACTCGCTGTAGCTCAAATAATACTGACACAACAGTAACTTCTGCCCAGTTAGCCACCACATAACTAAACTCTGCTTCTCCATGAAATATTCTATTCATTAAGAAGATGTACAAGAGAACCTGAATTATGTGTCATGCTGTTACTAAAGCAGAAAAGCACGACTGTGAATTGAAATCAGCAATATGTCATTTTGCTTCTTCCTTTAGCATTTTCCATCAGGGCAGCGTTTGTCTTTGTCTGGAACTCACAATGCAAAGAGAACAGAAAACATTGTTGGCCTTCCTCAAGTGAAAGCATTGTTACAAGGATATATGTAAAGTGTCTTCACGATTTCACAGACAACATTCCTGCAAACACCAACTCTTACAACCTGAGACATGATCCTGGGAGTAGGCTGGGTGCTTCATGTGTGTATCTACTGCTTTGTGTGTACTAAATCCCCGACAAGAGAAGGGATTCAGACCCTTCAAAAGCCATTTGATAAGATTTGGGGCAAATACACAATACAGAGATGAGGGGGGAACACTTGGGTACTGATGGCACACTTCACAAGCCAGCACTTCCTCTGCTGGAGGACTGTAAACTTAACAGAGGAAGCACAGAAAATAAACAACCAGCATCCATCTCTAAGGTGCAATCATTGTATTTTAATCAAACAGGTAACATTAACCTTTCAAGCACTGCGTATCATTTTCATTACTGCATTATTACCAATGGCAGAGAAGCCACAAAATTACAGAATTAGTATAATTAATTTAAAATACTAAATAACCACACTGACCTCAAAATGTGTTTTAAATACAAACATACTGTTGCCAGCAACAGATTCATCTTAATACTAAAATCAAAGATGTTCCCTACATCTAGAATGCCCTTAAGTTTGCATTTATTCCTTTTATTGCAAGAGATAACACACAGAGAAAACACAGCACTGTCTATTTAGCAAACTCCCACAAGAGTTCAAGCTAATCTCCAGTTGTGTTTGTGATTTTTAACCTGTAACATGTGAACAAATTGGAACCCACCTAGGAATAATCTGATCTACCTTATTTGCATGGGCACTTACTTTTACCAGTGGAAAACTGTACAAAAGACCTTGATCCCTCTCATTTGCATTCAAGTAACTAGCCAAGTTTTGAAAACATGCTTCTAAATATTTAAAGTTCATGAGTATACACACAGCTTGTTGCAGGAAGAACATAAACCTTAATGGCTATGAGAGGCAAAAAAATATGACTTACCACCTTGCAAAACAGTTTGCACGGGTTGAATTTCTCAATTCCATGATAAGCTTTGGTTTTGCATACGTGTACCCACAGTACATAGCAGGAGCACACAGGATCTAGTGAGGCTTTGTGGGTATATATCAGGATAGAACTGGTCCAAAATATTTTAAATGACTGCTATTATTTTTATTAATATTTGCATTTACTTGTTTTATAGTACTGAGTTTTAAGCAGGCTGCAAGGCTGTGGAAGTGTGATTCATCTCCTATCCTAGCCAGTCCTCCTTAAATCATTTATTCAATGCCCCTGACGTTAGCAATTCTTTACATGTACTTGAACACCAACAATTAGACAAGAAATGTTAGATTAGGGACACAACTAAAGGAAAGCTATTAAACAGGCCTTTGTTTTAAAACAGAGAAGGTAAAAGCATTCCTCGATGCAATAAAAAGTGAGTATTTACATGCCATGCCCTAATTAAGAATTTTTTTCTGTAATTCTACTGGCTGTCCTGGAAGAGCCATAAACATTTAGTAAAATAATCTCAATTTATACTGCTTTGTTCTATGCCTTCAAGTACCATACATGGCTGTACTCCAGATCAAGTAGTTGTCCTCAAATGCCTTCCAACAAGCCCTGCCAGATTCTGTGGTTCAGAAGTAATTTAAAGGCAGAAAGCTGTAGCAAATGAGACCTAGTGGAAAACAGAGAATGCTTTTACTTCATCCTAACTGTTTGCAGAACAGAAACGGAAAACCACAATGAAAGAAAGGAAAAAGACAAGGAAGTGCCAAAATGCCATGTTTCTCTCTGAAGACGAAGTTAATGACTCACCAACATCATGACATGGCATGTGCAAGTGCCTTTTAACCTTTGAGAAGTTTATAATGAAATAAACAAATAAATAAATAAACAGAAAAACACTGTCCTTGTGGAACCACATCTTTGTTTTTAAACACCTTTTATGCACTTTCCTTTTTCCCCCTTTCTTATTTCTGGTGTGTTGTTCTACACTTCCAATCGCTTGCACTGAATAAACTAATTCCTCCTAGTTAGAGCAGGGATCATCAACCACTGGCCATTAAACGCAGCCAACTGTTCGTAACTCCAGCAGATGGTTCTCTTCTGCTGGACAACAGGAACTTTATGGTCCTTTTCCTGATTTCTCTCCAGAGAGACAGAAATACTTTATTTAGAAAGCAATCACTCCTCCAATATAGTCTTGTCCCCTAAGCAGCCTATTTCCAGTTAGCCACACTGCTCTCCCACCTCCCCTCCACAAGAACACTGGGAGCATCAAATAGAAATGAGCTGACAGCAGACCTGGGCTGAAGCCATCAGATGGCACAGAAGTCCCCACTTCTGTGTGTTTATCCTGGGCTTTTCTGCTTGAGCTTGATAAACAGCACAGGCAAACCAAGGTGTGTATTCCCACACTGATTCTTGTGGCACCAGTGGGGTGCCCAGGGGTGCTGTGAAGGACATCAGCTTCCAGAGGAACCTTGAGAGGGAAAATTCCCATGGGAATTAAAAAGTCACTTCTCCTGACTGCAGAGTATCTTAAAAGAGCAGACTTAGAAAACATCCAAACATCCATAAAACCTGAAAAAGGAGAAGAAAAATCAAGGAACCCAAAGGTGGTTCAGAAGCTATAGCTTCAGTTATTCACGACCACTGGACTGCAAGATTTTCCTTGGACTCTTGGAAGGTTTTTCCTATATCCCTGTACGGCAGCACACAAAAGAAAAAGTCCTTGTGGTGAGGGAGTCTTCCTCACAACTTACAGCCCAAAAGAAGGTGGCATAAGTCCATTCATGTTAAGTCCATGCCACACAAAATCCTTTTGTCAGTCCTGGCCCGTTCTCAGGACTGGAGATCAAGGTTGCTGTGGTGAGGGTTTATCCTACAGCAGCATCCAGAGACCCTCCTACTACCTGGACCAAAGCTCTGTCACACCCATAGCTGTGCTTCATCTCACATCCTCCCACTCCAGGAGGTCCAGAGACTTTGTTCCTTTATTCCTTGAAACTTTCAATTACAACCATTAAGGACTCAAACTGATTTTTTTTCCACAGAATGCTTAAACACTTTTTTCTCAACTTTCCCAAAATAATTCCTTTCTTGGGATGAATGCAAGCAAAACAGTTTTCAAACTGAAAAGAATTCATATGGCAAAGTAGAGAGAAAAACAGTTACAAAGCTATTAAAAATACAGTTGAACTACAGCATATGCTACAAACACACCACACCATACATTTTAGACAGAACTTAGAAACAAATTTTAATGTAGCAGAGCTATTTCTGCTTGCCAAATGAAACTTTAGTAGGATACTTTTTTACAACTTCTCATGACACAGTTTTTTGAGGATAGCTGTGAATCACTGCTTAGTCAAAGTTCTGGTGTAACATGCCCAGTTTGTGAGAATGTACTGTTTTGTTTTTAATACAAAACAGTTTTACATATTGCAATTTAAACTATAGACATAAACTCTTCAAAACAGTAACTTTATGTTCAAATAAAACAGGTGCACCAAAGTGTAATGTTTCCAGTTATTTATTTCACTGTTGAATTTTCGGTAGTTTGCTAAACCTTCTGCAAGCTTTTAGGCAATTAAGTATCTGTTACATCATTTCTATCTGCTCATTCAAGGAGGGAGTTTACAATCTCTCTGCAGAGAGTAATCAAAACGCTTAAAGAAAGATTTTTATGGGACGACAAAGATGCTGGATCTGGGGGCTAATGGCTGAAAGACACCAGCAGGCAAGACCAGTAGGCTGATGAACTCCAGCTGAAAATTCCAGGATGCAAACCAATCTTCCAAGCTGGTGCTGGCTATTTCAGTAATTCTCAATCCTGGACTTGGAGTGGTGTTTAACCCCGCTGCTCCTTCACATGCACAGAGGGTTCTGGGCAGGAGCAAGGTGTGCCCTACTTTCAACATGCTCAGTCTTCAAGAAGACCAGAGCCATACAGCTGGTTAGCACAGATCTAAGAAGCTGAGAGGTAGAAGAAATGTATTTCTAAGAAAGCATGGAAAGAAAAGTTCAGCTCACCAAGCTCCTTCTCAACCTTACTGTGAGCCCAGTTCTCAAATCTGCTGGGGGTAAAGGAGGAAAGGCCAGGCTCCCTCTGTGAAACTGGGGCTCTTCTGTCCCAGCTTCTGCCTGAAAGGCTCTTAAAGAGGAGGGGAGGCAAAAACATTTGCACAACAGTCAATTATTCAGTAGCCTGAAATACAAAGGTGTGTGGAAGTAGGGAAGATCTACAGCTTAACTGGGCTAAAAAGGGTGCTGTGAGAGAAGTAAGTGACTGAGATGTTCAACAGTGCAAAAAAAACCCTAAAATACCTAAAGACACAACACAAATTTGCCTAGGAATTACACAATCATGTATTTCCAAGAGTAAGTGCCAAAGAAGCATTTTATTTAACTATGTTTCTTTTCCATATTACCATATGAAAGCAATTGGTACTTCTAAACTACGTGACAGAGATCATAATTTAACAGACGACCACAGGAAATACAGTGTAGGCAGCAATCATAATTAGTCTGTAGATATTTGCACCAAGACCAAACTCCACTGTTGAGACATTTTATTTCAGTATTCCAAAGTTATACAGACAGCCCTCTCACAAAGCCACAAAGAAGACTTCTGAGAAAAGGAACATGTGTCTGCTCATCCTTGTATAAAACACACCACAGAAATACATTCATTTTTCTATTGAAAATAACATGAAATAAACCAGTCTTCCTGCAAACCCCACAAAATTTCTTAATTAGACAGCTCTTATTAGAATACGTCTCTCAAAGGGAGGAGTCCACTGAACAGCACAAGTCTTCAGTGTTTAATCTTGCCACAGTCATTTTCTCTTTAAAGGGCTTATTTTTAAAATATGCATCGACTGCATCAATAGGCTTTTAGTAACAGAAAAAAAAATCCGAAAGAAATGCAGAAACACCACTGTAACTGTTACAACTGTTCATGAAGTCCATCTAGCTTTTGGATCATGTGCTGTTGTGTTATAGGCAACTATTTCTGGCCAGCCATGACTTTATTGGCAGAAAGAATAATGGAGGGGGGCAGGTCCCCTTGTCTTAGTGCTGCCCAAACACACAGCTGGCAACAGCTGCACAGCACCCTCCTGGGGTGTCTGCACCGCATGCATCAACACAAAAAACCCTTCATGTCATAAGTATTTTGGTAAATGTAACCTTTTAAAGAAATACCCTTTTTCCTACATAAGGCACAAGTAGCATAAATTAGCATTTTCTCCACTGAGTACCTTTGCTTTATTTAAAAATGTCAGCAACGTAGGTCTTTAAGACACCACAAAAGTGGTGGAGAAAACCAGGAAAATATCTGGTCGGTTCTGACAGCTTTTAAATTTAATTTTGTTCAGTTAAGCGCTTTTCTTAACGCACTGCAAATGCTGTGAATGCAACGCCACTCTGCAAAACAATGGTGTGGGAATCCTGCATTCTACCCAGCATGTGTGATTTTCAGTACTCTCTAATTCCTGAATACACTTGGGGCTGAAGCATACCCACATACACTTAGAATGTTTATGAAGTTAATCACTCCAAGCCTAACTTACCCGGTCAGGTAGCACTGCTAACTAAAAACATCACAATGACACACAAATAACCTCTTTGAAGTGCAACAGCAGAGTTATATTTGCATGCTGCAAATACACACAGACAACAGGCACCTTATTCATCAGTGGGCATGAACACAAAAAAGCCAACCCCAAAACAACAACAAAAAAAGGCCACTTCTTTACACTGTGGCTTATCAAACAAAAAGCAAATAGAGCAAGTATTGTTTCTGTGTGGTGAGATCTTCCACACTGCCACCATGTGCAGGGAAATTCCACTAGAACACTTTGCCACAAACTCCCTGACACTCTAGGAAAACTGTATCAGCAGCAAAGATACAGCTTTGAGAGAAGTCAACAGTGAATCGATGCAGCTGGTTGAAATGGTGGAAGGTCTATCAGCTAATTAATTTATAATGTACTCTTCCTTGCTCTTCAAAAATATCATTATTACTTAATAAATGCAGAAGCTCTAGCTAAACAACATGGGGCTGTTTACCTGGAATATTATCTTAATACTAACAATAATAATAATGTTAATAATAACAACCACAACAACAACAATGATAATAGCAATAACAACAGGCATAAGTAGTAATATCATATTCTCACATTTAATAATATTAAACTTTCATTAATATCTTAACCCCTCGATTCCCTAAATTTGAAAATGTATTTATCAAATTCACTGTCACAAATGTAAATAATACTTGTCTCAAGGGCCCCTAATGTGGTAATTCTTCCAATCACTCAGTACAGATGCTAACAATAAAATTTGAATGGATTAGCACATCAGTACAAAACTCTACAAGGCTTTTTCAAACACTGTTTCCACTTTGATTTCATTGTGTGATTGATAAAACATTGCTATCTGTACAGCACATCTCCTTTGAAATCCAACAAAAATAATGCTGCAGTTTTGGTAAGCTACTTTTGAAGTTCACTCAGATTAATAATATTACAAGTTAGCACCGCATGTTTATTTATATTTCTATGCTGCCAGGGAAGTATATTTAAATATTGCCTCAGAAACAGCTTACAATATGCAGTGCCTGCTGCAAACCAAACTCATTTGCAGAGCATTGATGTGGCAGACTGAAAACCACAAAACCACATTTGTTATTACTTATCAGTGCTGTTTTCCCAACACTCTGTAAAACGAATAGGTGAAAGTCTTCAGAAAAGCTACAAAAAAGCAGCATTTATCATTTTCTGTAACAGGAATATTGATTCTCAGATGCTACAACAGTCTAACGTTTCTAGCAAGGGCAGGGATGAACTCTGGCACTCCGTAAAGCACAACCTTTAAACAAAGGTCCTAATCCCACAGTCTGTTTCAGGCAGGCACGATCATGAAACTGCACTGAGAGCCATTAATTTAATTAGAACTATTCATATGCTTAAAGTTAAAAATGTGTTTAATTACATGCTGAATTAAGCTCAGACTGGGGTAAATTATGCCTCAAATCCTACAGCGACTTGGGCTTTCCCAAGTAAATTCACGTTGTTGTTATAAAAATACATTTCCCACGGAGAGAGGTTGATCTAACCCATCTCCCAAAGCAAGGCCAATCAGTTCAGGAGGTACAAAAACTGACACTGATTCCTGCTAAAAGTAAAATATGTAACAAATACTGGTTGGAATGTTTAATATGCTTCTATGTGGCCTCTAGGACTGGATTTGCAGGTTTTTTTGGTACCTTAAAATGCACATATAGGGAATAGAAAAGTCTAAGTAGATACCTAAACACTTATAAGCACATCCACTCTGCTTATGTACGTTAAAAAATTTGACCAGGACTGCTCTCATCTGCAAGTGTCTGGGTATGTCAAAAATCTAGATCCTAAGAGTCCATCCTTGGATACAGCTGTGATAAAGACTATTGCTGTATCAACACAAAGGTGAAGATCTGCCTGAGGTATGAGAACAATATAATTCTAAAAACATTAACTACAAGATAACATTAAGTTCATCCGGGTTTTTTGTTTTTTTTTTTCATTAATTCTGATGAAGACATATGTGGAGAATGATTTTTTCACATGTTAATACAAGTAATACTAGCACAGGGACATGAATATTTAGTTTCTAATAGATACTTTAAAAGTATCTAATGGATACTTTCTAATGCCTGGGCAGAAGAGGGAACTGTCCTGCCTGAGATGAGCTCATCAGACAAGAACAGTAAAATAAACCTGAGTGCAGAACTAATATCTGCTCTTCCCATGAACACTGGGCTCCTGCTGCATCTTGGGCTCTGCAACAGGACCATACTGAGACAGACAGACCCTTTCTCTTTTGTAGGTTTTGGTTTTGGTTTACAGAATTAGGAATGGTTACTAATTCCCTTGTATTCCCATGGATGGAACTGCTCCATCCACAAATAGTCCACTTGTGCAACCAATATATACTAAGGGATTATTTAACCTCTTGCTTTGGTACAGCTCTCCGTATTTTATTATGAATGCATTACCTTTGCTGGCTCCAGAATGAGAATTCTGACTTTCAGGTGAGTGAGATGACATTTCTGGGAGCTCCCCCTCTGGCACAACAGCTGGGAGGCTCCTACTGAATGTGGTGTGGCAGCTGCTAACAGATTAAATGCAGGAAAACTCATTTTGGTGGCTTGATATTCTGTGCTCCCTATAGCTGCTAAGCTAGAGACAGAGTGTAATGAATCACCATATCCAGAAATTAAATGCAAAGAAATAAAGGAAAAATAACCCATGTGTCAATATCTAGTATTAGTATGAGGAGTTCAAGAGTACTACT